TCGCTCGAGCCCAAGAGTTTAAGGTTGCTGTAAGCTATGATGCCAGGGCAACAGAGTGAGACTCTTTTCTCAAAAAAAAAAAAAAAAAAGAAGAAGAAGAGAATAGAAATCATAATCAGCAGGGTCAAGTCTCTATGACATCTCTGACCTCTGGAAGAATCTGTAAATGAACCAAATAGTACTTCTAGAAAAATCAATCAATGAATTTAAGTTCAATGAATGAACTAAAAAGCTGATTAGATACATTGAAAAGAGAGAATAAGTACTCTGAAAGGTAGATTCAAAGAAATCCTCAAAGCTATCGCAGAGAGAGAAAAAAATTACTTTTGGAAGAACAGTTAAGAGGCCTGGAGAACAGAATGATAAAGTCCAACATACTTCTCAAAGGAGTTACATAAAAGTAATATAGAAAGAGAAGAGAAGAGAAAATATGTTAAATAACAATAGCTAAGAATTTTTCAAAATTAAATGTACCACACTGTAGAAGCCCATAGTACCAAGCAAAAGCAATGAAAATCAATATTGTGACACATAATGGTGAAATTGCACACAGCAAAATAAAAAAGTACATATTAAAAGCAATCTGAAAGAAAAGATAGACTATAAAGGAAGGGCAATTGGACTTTAATAGACATCATATCAACAACAATACCTAGGAATATATCTTCAATTAAATTATACCCAACAAAACTGTAATTCAAGAAAGTATATTGTGTATTTGTTGAGGCTGTTTGAGGAGTACCAAAAAGTTCAATAATGTTTTCTCTACTTTTTTTGATTATTGATTTCCATGATTGTAAAAAAAGTTAAAATTTTAAAATACAATTTGTTAAAAGAGTGAGATTTCAAAAGGTATAACTTTGAAAAAAGAGCTAATAAAGAATGTACTTGGGAGAAGAAAGACTAAAAAAGAAGATAAGCAAATTAATTGCTAAACCTGGATAAATTTATGTAAATCTAAATAAACACTGACCTAAAAGAAGATTCCATGGTATACATATATCACAATTTATTAACCCATTCATGGGTTGATGGGCTGGAGTTGAAGAACATTCTTCTTAATAAAGTATTCCAGGAGTGAAAAAGCAAATATCCAATGTGCCCAACACTAATATGAAACCAATAGATGAACAACTACATGCCCACACCAGAGAAAAACACAACTAAATTCAAGTGGGGGAAAACAGGGAGAAGGGAAGAGATAGAGGGGAGTGGGGAGGAGGATCGGTAAGCTCTCACCTAACAGGCACAATGTAAGGGTATATGGCACACATCCTGGGTGAAGAGCTCAACTACAACTCGGACTTTACACATGAAAGCAAACAGTGTAACCTAATTGTTTGTACCCTTACGTGTATTAATCTGAAGTAAATAAAGTTAAAATCAAAGGACCACATAATAAAGAAGATTTTTGTAAAAATAGGTAACTGAATGGAAGAGGAAAAGAGGTCAGACCAAGATGAAAGTATTTGGAACCTTGAATTATTCAAAAGGAGAGAGATGGTGATTGAATTTAAACTGTTAAATTAATTTGACATGTTCATATTTAAGTATAATTACCAAAAGAAGACAAATATAACATATGAAAAAATGCTCATTGTCCCTAATTATTAGAGAAATGCAAATCAAAACCACCCTGAGATATCATCCAATCCCAGCAAGAATGGCCCGTGTCACAAAACCTCAAAACTACAGATGCCGGCATGGATGTGAAGAGAAAGGAACACTTTTACACTGCTGGTGGGACTGCAGTCTAATAGAACCTTTTTGGAAGGAAGTGTGGAGAACCCTCGAAGAACTCAAACTAGACCTCTCATTTGATCAATCCCATTACTGGGCATCTACCCAGAAGAAAAAAAAAAAATCCTTTTATCATAAGGACACTTGCACTAGACTGTTTATCACAGCTCAATTTAAAATCACCAAATTGTAGAAACAGCCTAAATGCCTACCAACCCAACAATGGATTAACAAGCTGTGGTATATGTATACCATAGAATACTATTCAGCCATTAAAAAAGATGGAGACTTCACATCTCTTTGTATTAACCTGGAGGGAAGTGGAACACATTATTCTT